GAGAATGATTGACCAGGAGAAGACGTTTTGTATTGCATCTTCCTTTTATTCTTCTGATCTATGCAACAATCTGATGAATCTGCTTGGTCTATAAAGGAGAGCAGTATAGCTCTATTTACTAAAGAGTAAAATGAAGCAACCTCAAGGAAATGGATGCCTTGAACCTTCATACAGAAGCATCTCTCTTGAATCTTTAAATCAGTATATGGAGTCACATTCCACTCCTGATGTCACATCTATAAACTTGTCATTGCCTTCCATTTTTCCAATCTGGAAATCCTTCCCCCTGTAGCCCTGCTTTGCTTCCATTCCAAAACAAGACCGTCAGATGCTACCCTTGAATTTCTGTACAGCTTTCATATTTAAACAAAACAAAAGGGGATACTAGAACTTCTAAAGCACATATTAGAATTTAGCATGAAATGTCTCCAGTGGAATAGGATAGAGTGACACACAGGTACCCACATATAGGGCAATTTCTTTATAGCTTACACTTAATAATAAAGACAATAGACATTTAGAGACACGTATAGAATGGTCAAAACCAAAATACATGCTAAAATCAAAGCCAGGCAGTCATTCCCAATGCACCAACTTTGTATCTCAGTCTTAACAGTAGTATTAAATTGCACCAGGCTGCAGAGACATGTTTATAGTGTAGTGGCTGCCATACTAATTTGAACTGTGATATGACATTTATAGGATTTAGAGTAATGAAAATGGCACACTTTCTTTTAGTGGTGTTGGTGGTTTATTTACAGGTGAGAAATCGAACCTAGAACTAAGAGAAATTTCCTGACAATGAGAACAATTAATAGGTGGAATGGCTTGCCTTCGGAAGTTGTGGGTGTTCCATCACTGGAGGTTTTCAAGGAATGATTGGACAGCCATGGAATGGCATAGTCTGCTGCTTGAGCAGGGGATGGACTAGAAGGCCTCCAAGGTTCCTTCCAACTATGTTTCTCTTTTGTGCTGAAAAATAGTTTCTTTCCATTTCTGTGACTCATATTTGCATAATATTTTTATTCATATCTTGATTTGCAGTTCAAATGGAACACCTCTGAGAAGACTCTCATGGCATTCTTTAAAAAAAGGCTAGTGAAATCTGGGCTTGTTTCGGTCATGTCACCTTTCGAGCCTTAATAGGAGATGACATTTCCTGCCTTTTCTGCTTTAACATATAAATTCTGATGTAATTTGAGCAGCTATGCAGGTCTCATAGGAAACATTATTCAGATTGATGGAGTATTTGTGAAGCAGCATAAGCAATCATTTTTAAATCTTTACAATATTTCATAACTAACCTAGTTAATTCAAGTGATAGAAGGTTATGAGCCTTGAATAGTTCAACTTTGTCTAAAAGTGTTATTGTTCAGCAGTGTACCACAAGAGAGCAAGAATAAAAAATTCTCAGTTCTGAGGTAAGATATAATTAACATACTTAATATCTATATCCACTTTTCCTACACAGTAACATTTAATTTAGTTTTAATTTCCAAACAAAGGAATGCAATTATTATTTCTCTTAGATTGTGTCCAGGAATGTACATTTTCCACATTGACCAAGTGAAGTTAAGAAAAAAAATCTGAGTTAACATACTTATTTTTTTCCAGGTGAAGGACCACTGCCTCTCCATTCACTTTAAATTCATATTGCATGGCGTCTTCATACTGAAAAGCAAAGAGTTCAGGCTTTACTTCTTTAAAAAATTAGGCAGATAAGATGTGTACTCTCTTAACAACTCTATACCTGTATCAATTTAAATCTAATGAATAATTTCTTTCTCTCTCTCTCTTTCCCCCTCCTCCACACGAAGGGGTCAGCTTAAAACAGTGATGGCGAACCTTTCAGAGACCGAGTGCCCAAACTGCAACCCAAACCCACTTATGCATCGTCGGGTGCAGGGTGGGTTTGGCCCGTTGGGTGGGTGTGGCCTGTTGGGTGGGCGTGGCCCATTGGGTGGGCGTGACTGCGGTGGTAACGGCAGACTGGGTGGGACTAAAAAGTTCAATCAATCAATTCCAACTTTGCAAGATCTTTTTTCCACCGCGAGAAATTAAAATTGACTGATTGATTGAATTTTATTTTTTTTTTGCACACGGCGGCGGAGGCCTAAAGCGAAAAGGTTTTATAAAACCCAGCTGAAGGCCTAGGACTGGGGCGACGGCGCACGTGCCCACAGAGAAGGCTCTGAGTGCCGCCTCTGGCACCCGTGTCATAGGTTCGCCACCACTGGCTTAAAACTTCCAATCCCTCTTTACCTTCCCCTGGCAAACTCAAACAGCCACCCCTTCCCTTTCCTTCCTTTCCCTTTTCTATCTTTTCCTTTCATCCACGCCTGCCACACCCAAAGCTAGCAGCAGCTGTCCCAATCTCTCCCTTCCCAGCCAAGCTCCTGCAAACACTCTAAGACAGCCCCGCTACATGTGAATTGGGCGGCCATATAAATTTGTTTAATAAATAAATAAATAATTCAAGCAGGAACGTAGATTGTAATGCCAAATCCAGATATTTATATTTCTAAGTGATGCATGTAGACATGCAGAGTTTAAATTAAGTACTTTACTGTATTCTGCCTATAAAACAGGAATCTCCCTAGGCTGCTTCCCTTCTCTTCAGAACAGATAGATAAACTTTAATGAAATTTCCTGGGGGGGGGGGGAGAGGATGTCAGTCCTGGATCTGTTGCAGCTGTGAAATGACTCATGGCTAGTTCTCTACTTGATCCCTCCTCACTGTACGGCTGGTTGTCTCCCAGCACTTTATTAGTTATACTAATCTACACATATTAGGAAATTCTGTTTGTGAATTGGCAGGAGTGTCTTCAATTTTCTGTGAATTGGGAGGTCATATAATTTTGTTTAATAAATATATTTAATATTTCAAACAGGAACGTAGATTGCAATGCGAAATCCAGATAACCGTTAGATGGCAGCAAAGGAATATCAAACTTTCTGTGGGCTGACAAGAAATAATTTCTTGATGAAACAAAGATCTTTCTCTTACCTTTGGCTGAACGGCTCCTTTGGGCAATGCAGTGACTTTTCGTGGATACACGACTTCATAATCATCCACGTTCCCAGATTCCAGGATTATAGAGCTCCCTTCGTAAGGAAAAAGAAAAGAAAGGTTTGGTTTACTTTGGGATGTTATTCTACCATTCTCACATCCACAACACAATTTGTTTTTCAGTTCTCAGTGAAGAATGGAATCTTTTTCTAGTGGGACACAGAACAGAAATCCAGATTTTCTCTGGAAATGCAAATGCAGCTTATTAGGAATTCCTTTCAGCTGAACTGCTATTTCACTGCCATCCTCATAGTTTTGCTGACTTTCCTTTCTTTCATTTTTAAAAGAATCTATGGACAACCCACAGCATCATAATTATCACTGGAGCACCTAGCAACATGTAAATAATGTAGTGATTTCAGAATTTGACTAATAGCTGAAAATTTTAGAGTTGGTCCCCATATGGGCATTGCATGGTATTTGTTCCTTAACTCATTTTGTAAATGTGGCAGTCTGACACCTGCAGTTCCTTTTGGATGTAAAATCATAACTGAGACCAAGATTTGTTAGCAGATTAATGGAAGGGAGCGGGTAAGGTTGTGCTTATACTTGCAAGTGGAAACAAAAGAATAAACTGAAATATCAATAACCACAGGGTATGGGAAAGAAACTGCTAGCACACACTTAAAGAAGAGAGAGAGAGAGAGAGAGAGAGAGAGAGAGAGAGAGAGAGAGAGAGAGAGAGAGAGAGAGAGAGAGAGAGAGAGAGAGAGCAGCCCCAGACAGAAGAATACATCTTCCTCATAGCTATTTAGGTACCTACCCATTTGTACCTGATGCTCCCAGAAACATGAGAGAGGTTCAACTCCACCTACTAGCAAGCAAGTTTACTATTCCTCTCTTGCTTAGAGCACAGAATAAGCAGCTATTACCCTTCCATCTCCCTTTCTTCTTTCCTATATTGTTCTCCATAAATTACTGCTGGTAAGGGCATCCCCATGTTTCCTTGCTATTTAAAACAAACAAACAAACAAACAAACAACAACAAAAAACAGGGCTACCGCAGTGAGTCTCTAACCCTTAATTGTGTTTGGCAACTTCTGAATCAATTGAGTATCATTATTTGTAATGATATGTGGGAATGACTTGAGAGACAGGAAGAAGAGCCATAGACTGGTCAACTGGCATGTAAAAAGTATCTCAGCCCACAGAAGGAAGGAGAACTTGGAAAGAATTTGAGAAGGGACCCTGTCAGGTTTTCTGCAGAGTAAAAGGAAAGGAGGGAAAAAATAATTTAAGATAATTCAAAATCTTGCATTGAGAAAATTTAGTGTCATATTATCTTGAGTACAGTTTGTAGATTCTCAGTAACAACAATAGCACTAGCTTTTATTTGGCTGAATATTATGCATGTTTAATTATAGGGTGTCTAACTGACCGATTGAAAGAAAATTAAAAACGAAAACACTTTATTTTTCTTTAACATTTTGCTTTCTGAAATTTTCTTGCCACAAACTCTGTCTCTCTCTGTCCTCTTCAGTCTTATAATCCTTTTTTTAAAAACTCACATCATTGAAAAACATTCTCTCCAACTTGAACGTGCTTTTCTTCTGAAGATCTTAGGACTTTTCTTTCTTAGGATCTACACGTGGCTTGAGAAAATTTAAGCAAATACCAAGAAACTATTTATGTAACTTTAGAACAAATGTGATCCTTGAGACCATTCTTTTGTTAAATCTGTAGAAAGTGAAGTGGAGCTAATTGTCAAAAATAAAACCCAAAACAAAACTAATAGTCAAAAATAATACCCCAAACAAAACCCATCAACATAGCAATCTGTTGGGTGCAATAGTCTTTTAGCAGTAAGAATATGAACAAGGGAACCAAAGAGAACATCTTACCTTGATAAGGAAAGACTGCTAAGCATATAGTTACCAAGAGAACGTGGATCATTTTGGAGGCTGGATTTGGCTGGAAGACAGGCAATCTCTTCCTGCTTTCAAGCCAACCTGAGCTCTTCCTCTGTTGACTATGAGAAGCAAGGAATGAGTCCTTCAGCTTCATTCATGCCCTCATATGAGAAGGTGTTTGCTAAAGGATTTGCACAAATTCTGAGTTGTAACAATACTACTGGAGGGCAGTTTTCCAGCTGGCTTAGCGCATGTCACTCCAAAAATGACAGCTGGGAGGGTTCATTCAAGGCATCCCCAAAGCAAAAGCCCAAAGGAGGCTATTAATTGGTCACAGCAGACCTTTCCCTGGCTCACCTGTTAATACAACTAAATTTGGGGCCTCTGGTGCATGGGGTCTTAAATGCCAAGAGTTGGTTTTTACAGTAGTTTGTGAGGCACTTTTGGAGCAATGTAGAATCCTTTCAGTATTGCTAGCATTGACTGAATCCATGTCAATGCATTTGCCTAAGGGATCCCTGATTTCACTACAGGGGGAAAAAACCCCTTTGTGCCATAATAGATTCTCACTTTGTAGAGAACTCAAGAACTCTCTTCATACAACTCCTTCAACAACTCCTCCATTTTCTGAAACGGGATTTATATGTTGATACAAATGTCAGCTGCAGTAATATGCATTCAGATTGAGGACAATTAATCAGTGGGATGGCTTGCTTTCAGAATTTTTGGGTGCTCCAAGATGGGAAGTTTTTCAGAAGAAATTGGACAACCCTTTGCCTGGAATGGTATGGGATCTCCTGTTTCAGCAGGGGGCTAAACTAGAAGATCTCCATGATCCCTGTTATCCTATAAAGGCCATTTGAAGGGGAACTCTGAGATGAATCACAGAGCAGAGTGAATCATTTCAATTGCCTTAAGAGGACCCACTTTTCCCTTATAATCTCTTCTTTTGTCTCCACCTGGTATAGAAATCTCTAAAGGCACAATAAAGACGAGTGTGGAAGAAGGGGCACTACCCACCCTATTGTTAAAGGCAAAGCAGAAATCTTTGATAAATGAAAAGGAAGAGAGGAAAATCTATGCATGCTTCTGCAAATGTATACCTACTTTTAATGCTTTTCTTATCTCAGTTTGATGCTGAGTCTGATCTAAAATTTCTAAATTCTTCTCTCATAATAGAAAAAAGGAAGAAAAGCTTTCCCTTTCAATCACCTTAAAAATGAGTTAACCAATCAGCTTTCTTGAAGTGAGAACATGGTTCTCAAAGAATGAAGAGAAATCCAGAATGCCAGGATTGGGTTCATTCCTTATAGCTGCTACTCAACTGAACAACCTCACTCTCCTCCATTCATTTGTCTCTCTGTAGCTCTATATTTTACTTCTGAAGGAGAGATCATCACTCACATCAGTAGACAAGGAAACGTCTAGATCCTCTCACTTTTCTCCCCTAGGCTAATTGTTCTTCATTTCCAGGTGATTCAGATTAATTCTGTCTAAATTATTATTGCCTGATCTCAGTTTTCCTTTCTCTGAATGTGGCTTGTTGTACTATTTATAAAATATGCTGTATTGGTACTGCAGCATTTATTTAATTTTAGCATAGTTTTATTTGCTAGAACTAGAATTTGTATGAATTGGTCAATGACTATAAGAAAGTTTCTGGACTGATCGATAACTAGCTACTCCATAAGCCAATTTGCTGTGCAAATTATTTTAGTTGTTCACCACCACAGCCTGAAAAATAGGTTTCTGACACTTATTGTATATCTAACACACCGCCTTATCTAAATTTGCTTTCAATTTTTTTCTTTATCTAAGTCCAAGTTGTTGTTTTTTCTCCACCTCTTCTTCCACATTCTGGGCGGTGCAAGAGGTGAGGATACCCCATCTGTTCTCTTCCTCCACATGACACCTCATTTGGTAAAATCAACATTTTTTTTCTTCAACCTCCACTATGAAAAGAAAACCTATATAGCAATTTTTGCTGAGTAATTTACTATCTTAGTAAAAAAAAATAAATTCTGCCTACATTTTATTCAACTAGGTGAATGTATGTACAGGTATGTGCACACTACACATAAAGACTATTCTTTCAGAATTTTTTGCCTTACCTTTACTAATAGTCCCTTAGACTTCCAGATATTACTAATCAACTGGGCATCTCTCAACAGCCCTAAGCAGTGTGGTCAATATATCTAGATTTTAATTTAATAGCATCTGGAGGTCTTAGGATTTCCATCCCTTCTACAAAATTCATTAAGACTTATTGCCAAATTTTCAGCTTCAAGAATCCTTCAGCCCTCTTTGCTGATGTAGAAGTTCTTGTCTAGGTCAAAGTTGCCTCTTGGATTCCCATACTCTATCATGCATGCCATTCTTTAGAAGAAGCAGCTTTGGTACATCTCAATGATCTGTTTGTTCTTTTCAATTATATTAGGAGGTGAACCTCTTGAGGTCCTTGTATTAGAGGTAGCAATCATAAATTCTTCTCTGCTTTGAATGCGACAAATGCTGTTGGTTATTTGTGCTTGACAGGCCTCTTTAATTGTGATTGTCAGCTTTTAGTGCTCCTGGAGCCATGCAATACTTCCCAAATTGCAACTTTATGGGTTTCTTGGCCAGCCATCACCATAATGGGCCATAAACATGCACTGGCAGCTGATCTCAAACAGTGGGCCATTGATTTAGAGCTGTAAGCAGAATCTCCAGCTCTACTCATGGAGAATTAGTGGGCACCCATATACATTTTGCAAATAAATAAACAAACAAATTCTCAGAAATCCCTTTTTGAGCTACTCTGCACATCTTCTCCAAACAGTCAGATATCTCAGTCACACAAGTATCTCAAAATTCAGAGGGAACTTATCCATAGCACAATTCAATGCCCTCCCAACAGCAATTCCTAAAGGAGGAGACCAAAAAATCCCCTTCTATCCATGTGGTAGAGGAATTATTGTTAAATCGATGGAACATTATTCTCTATTATCTTCTCTATGCAGATGCTTGCCAAGAGTTATTATTTTTATTCTTTATTAAATAATCTGGTCACTCTGATTTGGTTTATTTCAAGATGTTGTTATTATTAGATCAATCTAATAATTATATTTGCTTGACCATAGCCATGTACTGTCCTATACTTTGTATAGAATGCCATATTTTCTCTAAACCTTTTTAGATATTTTAGAACAATTATATTTTTCCTTTTTATCTTATTTCCCTTTGATTTTTGTATTGTATTTGCTGGTCTCTTATTATCTATTGTCATAATCTAGGAGTTATTAGGAACTCAATCAACTTATATTATCTTGGTCAAAGAGAAGAAATATAAAGAGAAAATTCATCAATCTTTCTATGAAAATTGCTGCATAAGAGCTATATTCAAAAATCTATTTTATTCTCTTACATTAATCTCCCTCATTTCCTCCATGGAACTCAAGTTACATCACTTCTTTACAAGTAAAAAAAAAAACTTAAAATATTTGTGTGGGCACAGACTTTGCAGGCTGAAAGCCCTCCTGAGTCACAAGGTCAATAGAAAAGGAAAGACAAAAAAGTTTCCTTTATCATTCATGAGCTGTCAGTAAAATGTTTTCATCTGGATAAGAGGAAGATATTTACTGTAAACAAGAAGTGTTTTCTTGCCAAGTCACAATATTCCATAACTGGCAGTAGCCATTTCAAATACACTTATAGCATTGTTGCACTGGGATTAAAGTCTTATTTTTCTTGGAAAGTAGGCATGAAAGAAAGAAGGGCCAGATTTAAGTCTCTGGAACCATGACCTTTCCCTGGAGACCTCTGAATATCAGCACTATCCACATTGTTCAGCTCCCATAGTATAATTACAGACCTATTGTCAGTTGCAGATAACCAAGAGCAATCATAGAACATAGAACAATGGGGCTGAAAGAGACCTTGGAGGTCTTCTCTTCCAAGCTCTGCCCAGGGCAGGAGACCCTGTACCGTTAGAGACAAATGGCTGTCCAATCTCTTCTCGAAAACCCCATCTAAGCCTAAAAAAGTGTTTCACTATTTGAGAAAACTTAATGCTCATATAATCTGTCTTCACGAAACACATATTAAAAACAAGTCCAGAAATATTTAGCAAATAAAAGACATGGGGAGGATTTTATATCTGCTGGGCTAAAAAATATTAATTCTTGTGGTGTTATATATAAAATCCCAATTTAAACCTAGGCTACTTTGATCAGATGAATATGGAAGATTTGTAATTGTGGAAATTGAATTTAATGGAACAAAATCAATAGTGATTGGTCTTTATATGCCAAATGAGGAAAAAAAAGCAATTTCTTGCCTTTTTCATATGAAAATTGGCTTATGTTGGGGGATTGGAATGGTGTGACTTTGCCACTGGGATAGAACATTTATTAAGGGGCTCAAGGATAAATTACCAAAGACATTCTTTGAAATGATGGACAATCTAACGCTAGTAGACTCAGGGAGGCAATTGTAAAGGACTGTAAGAAGAAATTACATGACTATTTTGATAATAATCCAGGCAACTGGACAGACCTAAAAACTGTCTGGAAAGGTAGTAAGGCAGTTGTGAGGGGTTATTTCATACAATATAATCAGTTAGAGAATAAAAAAATCTCTGGAAAAGACTGAAAATTGCTGCATAAGAGCTGTATTCAAGAATCTATTTTATTCTCTTACATTAATCTCCCTCATTTCCTCCATGGAGCTCAAGATATACATGACATGACTTGAGAGTTAGTCTGGGCTAAGAAAAATAATTGTCCAAAGTCACCCAGTGAGATGCATGGCAACTGGAGACCTAAACATGGCTATCCTGAGTCCAATCCAACATCTTAATTTATATCACATTGGCCCTTGAAAAAAATACCAAAGTAAAATAAATGTTAACATTCATTGGAAAGTCTAGGATAAGCCTTGGTAGATTTGCAGATGATTCAAAGAATGGTGGGATCATTTGTCCTTTTTGTAAGTTAACCTTTAAAAAAAAAGTTAGTGAGAGAACCTCAGAGAAGTATTTTCTCCAGGAAGTTAATATCCGTTTCACCCCACTCATCAGCTGATCGAAAGTTCTTTACAAGGAAAGAAAAACTGAATATATTTATGTGGGCACAGGCTTTGCAGGCTAAAAGCCCTCCTGAGTCACAAGGTCAATAGAAAAGGAAAGACAAA